AGGAGCTGGAGTGGGTTTTGAGATGCTGCAAGTGTTGATAGAATTGATCAAAACCTTAGGAAAGAACTTCCCTGTTTCCTTGGGAGTCTGCCCTGCTCCGTGCTCGGTGCCTGGCATTGACTGTGGTGTGGACAGTGCTATCCCCCTTCTCCAAAGACAGACCTGTCTGGTGGGAAGCACATGGCATTCCAAACAGGGCTTGTCGCTGCTTCCACGTTCTACAGACTTTGGAAGAGCTTCACGGAGTCTGCAATCAAATCCAAAAGAGTTAATTGCTACTAAACCGTAGTAACAAGTTGTGAATTATTTGGTAGAACCCCAATCTTTGATTAGTTCTAGGGAATATTTGATTTCTCTGGGGGTATGTTCTTCTCTAAATATTAAGCATTGAGTTGTTCATCTAATGCTTGGAGTAGTAGCAGTTTTTTTCTTTCTGATCTGTGTTTCTTTATAGAAGGGGAAGGGGAGTGTGAGACAGAGAGCCTGGAAGATGAAGGTTTTGAACATAAAGGGATTGTTTTGGGATGGAGCTTTCCCCTGCGTATGCTCACCATTAAAGACGACGTTTTTGTGCGGTAAATTGGACCCACGCCTGCCTGCCTTCAAAAAAAACTACCAGGCTCTTCTGCTTCATGGTTTTGAGTCTCTGATACTTTTGAAATGAAGCCTAAAGATCCTCCAAAGAGGATAACAGTGCCTAATGGAAAGAATAATGGGAGCGAGAACCCATCTGAAATGACAGCTCTGAGCCTCACACAGCTTTTCGGGCTGATCAAAGCTGCTGGGAACGCTGTTTGAAAAGGGGAGATCAGCTCCCCTGCTCCTCTTCCCGCTCAACCTGCACGTGATTTCGTATTCCAGCCTTCTCACTTTTTTCCTGGTAGATCAAGTGACCCTCCTGAATAGCTGGTGTTCGGATCAGTGCTCTGGGGACCAGAATGTAAGAGGTGAACTGTTGGGGTGATGGAGCCTCAGAGCTCGATCCCCTCGTGCACAGGGACCCCCAAAATGCCCCACACAGAGCAGTCTGCAGCTCCTCTGCCCATGTGTGTGAATACTCCAAACACCTCATAAACACAGAGGGAGGGAGTTGCTTCCTCGTCGTAGTTTTATGGTGGCTTTTATTTTATTCCCACAATTTTGGTTATTTTCTGAAGTCAGGTGATGATTTGAGCATCTCAGCTTCCATTTTTATTGTTATTTTAAATCCCTGTGCTCATTGCTGAAGTCTGAACATGCGACCTCAGGTGCCCAAGTGCTTTAGAAATCAGAAGCAGAGGGGATTCTTTGCATGGTATTTTTTTATTTAAGATCTAAATTCATGATCTTTGTGACTTCTTTTGGGGATGATTCCTATTGTTTGATTGTTTTAGAGGACGAGGTCATGTGTGCTTTGGGAATGCAAAATACTTGGGGTCTTCAGGGTCTGAGCAGAGCAGGGCTGAAGGAGTCAGTGATTTCTCTTAGAGACAGGGCTGCAAGGAAGGGGGTCCTGACAGAGTGGAGGAAGGGGTGGAATATGGTTCTTATGTAAATTCCCTCACTCGTGGTTACCTTGTAGCCACGTCCAGGCTGGAGGAAAGAGAACTCAGTGATTTGAGAAGGAACAATCCCACTGGAGTGGGAGATGGAGCAGGGCCTGTTGAGCCCCTCAAGCCCACGTGGAGACTGGCCTTGCTTAGGCAGCATTGTTCTCACCAGATTTGTTCACAAAGCCCCTGGAAAATCCACTAAATCCCGGGCTCTCAGTACCATGCTGAGCACCAGACGCTGGGGCCGTGTGCTGCAGCCCAGGCCTGTGAGCCAGGGCTGTGCTGCCCCAGGATCCCCTTTCTCCCAAACTCACCTGTGCCTGCACCCAGCTGTGGACCGAATCTGAGACCTCAGGGCAAAGCCTTTAACCCAGTTGTGTCCATCTCCCCTCCCTGCTTCACTATTTAAAGTGAAACTATTGATGCAGGAAGCGGGAAAATTTATCTGTGAAAAATTGCACTTGGAACGCTGGGTTTGGCTTGTTCTGAGCAATGAGAGAGCATGAAATTGCTGTGAATCCTCAGGGCTTTCCTGGACAGCGTGTGAGCCCAGTGCAAAACATTTATTGTAAAATACCTTCTAATTGCAGTGCCTGAAGTGGGCACTGCTGGGAGCTTGTTTCCTCTGGGCAGTTGGGAGCAGTGGGTACACAAAGGACAGGGATGGTGCTGTCAGGAATCAGTGCCTTAAACAAACACAAGGAATGAATTGATCTCTCCCTCCACCCTTTTGATTTTCCAGTGGACTCGAGAGGGCTTGGAGAGAGTGGGGCTGGTGCTGGCCATGCTCCCTACCTGGCCAGGCCAGGGTGGGATCTGGAGCACGCTGCCATCAGTGCTCCCACTGGCTGCAAGGTGCTCTTGCCCAGACACCCATTGCTGGCACCCTGTCCCCTCCAAGCCAGTGACACTGGGCCACTGTTTTCAACTCTGGGCTCTGCTGGCTGCAGCTTCTCCTTGTCCCCTGCTCCACCTCTTGAAAGTGTTCCCAGTGCCCCATGCTGGGATCCCTGTCAGGCAGAGTGGAACGGGGTCAGCTGCCTATAACTGCTGGGAGGGTCAGGAGCAAAGAGCCACACGTTACCACAGGGAGTTGGCACAGTGGTGAGAGGTCACACAGCATTAGTGACTCGGCAGCAGTGCCAGGGAATCTGTTCCCAGCTGAGCGATGGATGCAGTGCCTGGCAAAGGGTGTTTTAGTGGGTGGATCAATTGCTTTCAGTACGTTGGATTGATTTGGGGATCCTCCAGTGATGGAACCAGCCTGTGAGTGTATCAGTGAGCAGGGTTTTGCCAATCTTGATAATCAATCCCCGTTTCCATCTCCCGCTCCCGGAGCTGGTGCTGTGGCTGTTCCGCCTCCGGCCGCCTGCAGCGTTCCTGCACGGAGCGCGAGCAGCCGATCACACTTGAGTTGTTTGGAGTGCCATGTTGCAGAGATGCTTTTATCTCAGTATTGGGATAAAAGCTTTCTTTGGGGGCGGAGGGATTAATTTTTCACACATCTGTCCACTGGAATGCAATAACGAAGCCTTTGTTCGGGCTCTTTCCGTGGAGCGCCTTCTCCGCCCTTGTTATTTCACTCTTCTTTTGCATGGCAAAACTTTTTGTCCTGCATTTCAAATAGATCTTGAGCGTCCCTGGCAGCTGAACAAGAGAAACAAACTTTCCAGCCCCGTTGTTTGTGCTGTTCTCAGGGGATGCTTGGTGATTTGAAGGGTATTTGATTGGTTTTGGCAGAGGCATTTTATTCCGTGGCAAATCCACAGCTTCTTTGATCCCTTGCGGATGGTTTAGGGAGCCCCTGGAGCCTCCAAATGAGAGATTTGTGGGTGGCCAGCTGGTCGTGGAGGTGCCATGGGAACACTGAGGACTCTGCTCTTGGGCCATGCGCCGTTGTGGGCAGGGAACAGAGGGGGAGAGGTGGGGAATGGTGCCAGCTCTGCTTCTGCCTGAGCCACAGTGGGAGGGCTCAGAGCTTGGCCCAGCCGTGGCTCTGCATGAGAATGAAGCCCCAGAGCCTCAGCCCTTGTCCTGCAGATGCTTTCCTTGCTCTTTTGAGCTTGGTTTGACTCCAAAGTCTCCCTAGTCCAGGATATCCCAGCTCCAACCCTAATCGTATGTCGGGGGGCCCGACCGGGGTCGATGGCTCCATCCCCAGCAAGAGGGAATTTAACACTCAGGTTTAACACAGATTATAACATTCCCCAGTCTGGATGTGCTTCCCACATCCCACAGAGGCTGTAGCAATTGCAAGCAAACAGGTTCACCTCAGCCCTGAGGGCCGGGGTTGGTGCTGGGCTCAGTGCACAGGGAGCAGCAGCCCGGGGAACTTCTGCATACATTTACCTGTGATATTTTTTTTTTTCCCCCAACAGCCCTATTACCATATTTAAATGCAAGTATGTCTTTTTTTAATTGATGTATTAAGTAGTTTCAAGTCACTCTAGTCTAGTTCTCTGCTCCTTTACCCTGATAGATGAGCTGTAGCTGAGCCAATAGTGTAGAGGTAGAGGCTGTAGTCTGCTGGTCTCTCTGGGGTTTGCTCGCTCCTCTGGCTCGCTCTTCTCTTTCTCTGTGCCTCAGTTGTCTTTCTGTGGTTCCTCAGCCTTGCAAAGCAGCTGTGATCAGAGTCCTGGGCCCACTCAAGTGGCAGGTCCCATCGTGGCAGCCACCCCCAGGGTTGTCCTGTTGGGCAGCAGGAGCAGTCGGAGCTCCCAGGAACCTCTCAGGAGTTGTTGACTTTGAGGTTTGGGGTTCTTGCTGATCACCTGGACTTTGCCATTGCCCACTTTAAATACATATATTGAAAGTCAGAGTCTCTGACAGATCTTGTGAATATTAATTAAGTAAAGACATTAAATCTGCGATCTTGCTGGCAGCATTCCATTCCTCTGGAGGGCTGGCTCCCCTGGAGCAGGGGGTATGTCGCTGAGCTCCTTGATCTGCGGCTGTTTTGCTTTCAAGAGCTTTTTTTCTTTCTTTCCTTCTTTCTTTTTTAAACCGCATTCCATTGAATTTTTTCTGCTTGATCCCAGCAAATCTGTGATCTTGACACGAGGACCTCCTCATATTTTCCATTACTGCTCTGTCTATAGACCAGCACGTTATTATCACTTGCAAATAAGCCTGGAAGAGAATTCCCTGGTTGGTTGTGGAGCGGGATGACCCTGTTTGTTTGGGAGTACAGAGACATGAGCCGAGTGCTGCGGGCTCTGCCACCAGCCTGTCCACGATGTGCCATGGCCAGGGGCCCCATTCCTCCTCTGCCAGAGGGGTTTGTGCCAGCAGGACCCTCTGGCAGCGGGCACCTCGGCTCTTCCCGACAACAGTGCCTGTTGGTGGCACGGAGAGCCGGGATGGCGAGCTCTGGGAACGCCGTGCCCTCGGTGGCCACCCTGGGCCCCGCAGAGACTCGTGGTACCCACTAGCTTCTTTCTTTACCCTTCTCCTTTTCTCCATGGCCAGGTTTTCCGGCAGCGGCTTATGGACCAGTAGCAGCGGCGGCCGTGGCAGCAGCAAGAGGATCAGGTAGGGGGGCCCGTGGAAGAGCAAACCCTCAGAGTGCAGGGTCAGGTAAAAGCTCTGTCGGTATTCTGTGTGGCTGCAGCTCTCCATCATTTCTCTGATTTTCCTCACACTTATCCTGGGGACCTGAAAACGAAAGATCCCAAAAAAAATTATATAAAAATTAAGTAATCAGTCCCGACCCAAACCCAAACTACAAGCAGAGGCCACGGGGGCTGGAGCACCTGCAGGAGATTGGCATGAGAACTGCCAAAACCAGGGTAGATATTCCAATTTGTTTCTTTCTTTATTCCTTTATTGTGTTGGTTTCTTTATTTCTTTGGTTTAAATTCGAGGTTCTAAAAGACCCCCCCCAAAAAAAAAAAATTAATTTATGTTTTTTGAAAAAAAGTTTTGGTTTCTCATGGGAAGCTGGGGTTGGGTTGGGGTGGTGGCAGCAGCTCCGGGTGCTCCCGCCGTGCCCGGAGCCACTGTCACCTCCTCTGCCACAGCCAGCACAGAACATCCCCCCAGCGAGGGGCTGTGTCCCTTGAGGACAGTGTCACTTGTGCCATCGGCATTGGCACTGCTTCCACGAGGAATGCCAAAGCTTTTCTTCTGTCCTTCCGAAAGCTTCTGGTTTTTTTCCCCTTAAGGGAAATAAATAAATCGTTGCCAATTACCGTTACTGCCTTAGGTTTAAATTTTGCCAAACACATGAATTAGCACTTTGCTCAGGTGACAAGGAGTTCAGAGCAGCCATCGGTGAGCTGTGGGCTTGGCTCCCGGGCCAGGCCAGGATGGAGCTGCTGCCGGGACGGAGCCGCTGCCAGCCCGGTGTCCTCTACCCCGGTGTCTCCTTGGAGGACACGGCGCTGGCAGCACCTTCCAGCTCACTCATGGCTGAGCTGGGGGTTCTCAGTGGCTTTTCTGGCAGTGCCGGTGGGTTAACGAGGCTCTCCCCGAAAAGCCATGGCTGCGTGAGGGGTTAGCAGGAGGGCGCAGGCCCAGGTGTGTCTCGAGTGCGAGCCCAATGCCATGGAGGCCAAAGAAAGACACCAGGAGAACTCCGTTCCATGCAAACTGGCACTGCTTGCAGGCTACAAAGGACTCTCTGTACCAGTTCCATCTTGTGGCATGTAGAGAGCGCCTAAGGGGTGACTTGCCAGCCTGGTTGTGGGGATCCCCCATCTCCCGGCTTCTCCTACTGCCCCATCACAGAGGGGGAAAAACAAACCCAAAGATTAAAACAAACCCAAATGAAAAACAAGATTGCTTTTGCATATGCTTCCAGGAAAACAGACCTCATTGTTTCTGCCTCTTCCTCATGTTTTGCCCTTCAGGTTTTGTTTTACGTGCAAACAGACCTGGTGAGTTGCCCCTTAGCAAGGCACAGAGGGTTTGGCTCGATTAACGTTGCTTCCCTGATGATTATGATTATTTTTTTTAATCGGAGTGCTTTTGGTGCCCATTACAACTGAACTGAGCATTGATCAATTCTGTGCCTGAAAATCATTTGTCTTTAATTTGAGTGTTTTTTGGTTTCTCTTTTGTTGGGTTTTCTGTTTTGTTTTTTCAGTTCTTTTGGTTTTTGATTTGAACTTGCAATACGAAACTAAATCTAACCCTAAATTAACAACACCCTTTCTGGCAAGTTTAAAGAGCAGTATGGTGTTTGGAAATGTCTTTTCAAGCCTCAAAATTGCCTGTGTGCACAAAACTGGCAAAACCCCAAAACTGAATCCAAAGAGCCCCTGTCCCTCCCCAGCCCCGAGGTCTCAAGGAGGAAGATGGGTTCGTCACCGGCCCCACGGCCACTCACATCTGCACCAAACTGTGCTCTGGGAACGGTGGGGTTTTCCTTAGAGTCATCTCCATCCAAAGCCGGTTTCGGAAGGGACATCCTGGGTTCTCCACTCCATCAGCAATGGTAGTGAATTGTATCCAGGAGCAGTGGAGTCCGATCGATCTTGCGCTGCAGTGTACGGGCCCGATTCATTACAAGAAAAATGGTTGGGGTTTTTTTCTTCTTTCGTTTTCAGTCGGGTTTTTCTTTTTCCTTCACAAATTCTCACAGTACTCCTTCACGTGTGCCTGATCCAAAGCACAGAGCACTGCACAGCTGGCCCTAACTGGCCCTTTCTACCAGGAAATAGGAAAGAGCTGGAAAACACCCAGGCAGGTGCATCCCACCACCCCTGACTTGCTGGGGAGGGCTCTGCCCAGGGCTGCTGGAGCTGCCCCTGTCACAGAGCAAACAGGCCAGGAGGTTCCTGGAAAGCATTGATGACAGTCCATGTCATCAGTGTCCCCATCACTGCTGCTCCTTCGGCAGTGCTCCAGCCTCACCAGCTCACCCAAAATTGACCTTCTCTGCTCTCCGGCCCTGTCCTGCCGGCTCTTCCCCACCTTCCTGGCATCACTGCCAGCACAGAGACTGAGTGCCCACAGAGAGCATCCACCTTCAGCTGCACATCTTGGTCTCCCAGGGAAGCTGCAACCCTCTCACTCCAAGCCCCTGAGCACTGACCACCTTGATTTCTCCCCGAGTTGATGCTCCATCTCTTGGGTCACCTGCATGTTTACTCAGCCAACAGAAGGAGCCTGCCGGGGGCAGGTACCTGCACGGGGCAGCGCCCGGCCCTGGTTCTGTGCTGCCTGGTCTTCCCTGCCTTTACCCCTTCCTTTTCCCATGTCACCAGCTGACCTGGCTAGATAAACAAGTTCTTTTATCTGTCACAGCAGTTCTGTCCTACGACCAGCAGAAAGGGATGTGTCCCTCTCCTCATGCTCAGTACCACCCGCGTAGCTGCTCGTGTGCCGGCAGGGTGAGCACAGCAATGCTGCTCTCCATAAATCACATCCCCAGTCGATGTCCCAGTGATGAGACCATAGCCAAGGTCCCTCGAGCAGACACGGGTCTGGCCACATCCATTTGCTCCGGGTGGGACTGTGCTGCCCAGTCCCTCTGCTGGTTTTGACAACCTCACCCATTCTTGTATTTTTTTAATGAATTGGGACCTGAGCCATGGAAAACAAGCAAAGTTAAAAGTCTGAATGCTGCAAACTCCTCCTAGACAACTTCACTATCAGTGTCACATTTCTTTTGAATCCACCTGACATATTTTACGTGTAAAACATTTTTGTCGTGTAAACGCTTTTTTTAAAATACAGTCATGGGGGGGCACATTTTTCTCTTGCATTTGACATGGGAGGGGTTCATCTGGCAGGAGAGCGAGACAAGGAAAATTTGGCAGGAGAGGTTTTTTTTGTTCCTTCCTCTTTGGTTCATTAACAAGTCTGAGATTTTTCCAGTTCCCAACCCGTTGCCACCAGCTGTTCCTCCCTGAGGGCTGGAGACAAAACCCATAAGGCCACCTGTGATCCAACCCTGTCCCAGGTGAGCAGTGCCAGCTCCCCTGGGCACACTTTGCCCGCCGAGCCGGCCAGCGGCACACGGCGCAGTGGGACAGTGGTGCCATGGCACCAGGAGCTGATCCCCCACCCCAACCCCTGGCACATCTGGATTTTGGGCCCCAGTCCTGGCTTGCCAGCGCTGCCTTTGAGCCCTGCGCCCCAACAACCCCTTACTGGACTTTATACTTGCCAGCAATAACAAATCTCGTAACGTGAGCTACTGACCTTGATGGTGAGTGTGAGCAGTTATGTTTTGTTGTTTTCTCTCTTGCTTGGTTGGGGCTGCTGTGAGAGAGGGTGTCTCTGAGGCAAACTTTCCGGCCTCTCTTACACTCGGACGTGCACACCTCCTCTCAAACACTCTTCTGAGCGCTCTCAGCGGGAAGGTTTGTCCACACCTATTAATCCTCTCTCAGTGTCCAGCTTCTTGTTAGTAGCAGCTGGTTGCATGTTTTTTGCTTGTTCGGACGAAACGGTTCAAGAAACGACTCATATCAACTCTTGAGAAATGTCTCTATTTTTTTGTACACTTTCTTTCTTTTGATGTTTTTATTAATTTCCCTTACTTAAAAAACAAAACACCTGTCGTCCCGTAAAACATTTCACATCTCCCCTTGCCTGTTCTTAGAGTGTATGTATCTGTGGGACTGAACTAAATGCATGCACTGTAGTAGTCGTACTGGTAGCAGTAGATGTAGTTGTAGAACATGCATTGTCGAGTTGATATTATAGGCACCATCAACGCGAACGAGCGTGGCAGATAAAAGCAGAGCCTTGGTCTGATTGAAAGCATAGGGATAATACAGCAGAGAGCTGCTAAAGGCTTGGATCCATAGTGCCCTATTCGTTAAATCCCATTATCTGGAAGTATAAATTGAAGCCGGCTGTAGGCAACCTACACCCTCCGTACAAGAACCCGCACATGCTGTTATGCTGATAGTAAAATTGCCGTTACTTTTTTTTTTCAAATTAACCCCCCCCCCAGGAATTAAAACACTGGCTATAACTGTATTCTCTTTTTTTTTATTTTGAATCCAAAAGAACTTAAGATATTTTTTAAATCATTTTACAATCATGGTTTCTCCATCAGCCTGTTACTCGTCCATATTAGCCCATAGACTCATTCGTTGGCGGTCGTAGACCAGATGTGCCACACGCAAATCACTCCATTTGGGAATCCAAATAATTCCGTGTGTGTGTGAGGCGGCTCCCTGCAGCCTGTCCTGAGCCACCAAGCAATTGTCTGTAGGTCATAAACCTTAAATCTTATTATGCAACAGAGACTCTGAGCTAGTGATGGGTCGTACTCATTGCCATGTCACCCAGCTTAAGGGAACGTTTTTAAATGAAGATTTAACATTTCATAAATATCAGCATGAGGAGTTCGAGGCAAGTTCATCCTCTCTGCCAAGAGCCAGCAGTGGCTTCGCTTCTCCTGCCCAGGGTTTCTGTGCTAAACTTTGAAAATTCAGAGACAATGATGCAGTCAGTAAATTTAGCAGATGGTAATTGAGATCCCAAATTAGGCCTTGGTTTACTTGTTTAGTTTGTTGTTTGTCAGAAAACATCCTGATGGAAGTAGAAAAGCTCCTGTACAGGATGGTCACCCCTTTTCTCTCCCCTGCACCTCAGCTGTCCCCAGAACCAGTTGTGGTGGGTGGGAGCATTTCCTGCTCTGCTGGGCAGAGCCATGCGGTCGTTAGTGCACTGACAGCAGCCAGGGCCTTCCAGGGAAATAAAATACCCAGAGTGGGCTTTGCAAATGTAATTAAGGATTTGTATCCACTCCTTACCTCCAATAGAATGTCGAGTAAATCAAGCAAACGAGCCCTGGGATGGGGCTGACGTGGTGCAGGGCAAGCTGAGCCGCCCCTGGTACTGCCAGGGAGCTCAACACTTGTGTGTCAAGGGAGAGGGATGATGTCCCCTTTGGATCTCAGTCTTCCAGGGAAATGGGGGGACCCACTGTTTAATGTGCCCTGCACATGATGAAGAGTCTGGCTGAAAGTCAGCAGAGCAACAAATTGCATGGGGCTGAGGAAGCCTTGTCTGGCACTTAAGGAAGGTGCTCTAAAATTTAATCTACTCATAGTTTAGCAAATTACGGCCATAAGAAGGGGGGCAGTGCTTGGTCTGTGTGTGCAGGGGAGAGGAGCTGCCACCAGCTCACAGAGATATCAGGGGGAGCATTTCAAAGATCCAGCGATGAACCAATTTGGGATTTATACGGCCTGTTGGGAGGACTCCCTTGTGGCATGGCAGCTCTGATGGAACTGCTCTCCCTTTTTTATTCTCCTCTATAAAAGTACATAAAGTTTAATCCAAGCTATGTAATCTCAAAAACCAGAACTTAACAAGTGGACCACTTGGGAGCAGCAAGGGCTGGAATTTCTCACTCTGCTGGAACCGCCAGTAATTATGTGACAGAGCCCGGCGGGTGATGCATCGGGAAATTAATGCCTGCATTGGATTTTATCCTTTGCTTATCTCCCTGGCAGAGACAGTGTGCACTGGGGAGCATGGCAGGTGGCCAGGCAGGGGCCCCACACCTCAGGGCCTTCAGGGAGGGGTGGGCACGAAGACAAAATCCTGGCTTAAACAGGAATTCCAGCAGCCAGGCTGTGCCAGAGCAGCCCCGGGTGCTGAATGCACTCAGGAGGAGCCAAATTCCTGTAAGTGGTTTTAGTCTCATTACTGACAATACTGGGAGCACTACGGTTACTTTTCTGACTACTACCCCAAATTAAAAGAATAATAGTAATGAAAGGGGAGTCATTTCTGTTTGGTTCAGAAGTGCTGTGCTGGTCCAGGGTGGGAATCCCACAGGTCCTCTCTAGAGTGCAGGCTCAGGCAGAAACCCCGTGTCTTGTTTTACTGTAGGATGCCACTTCTGGATCTTTTTTGATTCACAAGGGACTGAGCTTCCAGCTCAGTGGATCTAAACAGAAAATTGAGTAGATCTAAAACAATTTGGTGCTGCTGCTGCTGCTCGGCCTTGGCTGCAGCAATGGGTGTTTGACAGGGCATCGGGCTGAAGTCTGTTGAGGTTAAAATACATCAGCTTTAATCAATAATTTTGTAATAGAAAATCTCATGCACTTGATGAATCGTCTCCAGTGCAATTAGTGACCACCTCTGAAGTGCAGTTGAAGTTAATCTGTAATGAATTTAGTGGGTAACTTTTAACAGTCCTTTCCATTGAGAGAATTATTTTCAATGGCAAAAAGGTCTGCTGAGAGCTCATCCAGAGCTGTTTCAATTAGGAAGAAATTCCTCCCTGTGAGGGTGGGGAGGCCCTGGCACAGGTTGCCCAGAGAAGCTGTGGCTGCCCCATCCCTGGAAATGTCCAAGGCCAGGTTGGATGGGACTTGGAGCAACCTGGGCTAGTGGAAGGTGTCCCTACCCATGGCAGGGGGTTGGAACTGTATGATTTTTAAGATCACTTCCAACCCAAACCATTCCTTGATTCTTTGATCCCACTGTCCCAGCTGCTGCTCTTGACACACGTCAGGTGGTGACGATGTGGCCACTGCCTTGTGCCACAGGCAGGCTGATTGCCAGTGCAGAGTCCTGCTCACTGGTGACAGGGCTTTGGTAGCCTCCAAAGCCCTGCCAAAGCCAATTAGCTGTGTTTAATACCCTTTCTCCCAGTGGAAGTGGAGGGACAGAGCTCTGGGCTGTTGTAATTAGACTTTGTTCCACGCAAGACGCAGCCGAGTCGCTGCAGAGTTTCAGCACGAGTGCTCCAGTGAAATGAGATCCTCGAGCACAGGATCATGTCTCATGCATTTTAATCCCTAAACAGGTAAAGTACTGCCAGAGCTGAGGGTAACTTGCCTCTCTGGCAGCAGTTGCAGGCTGTTACCTGTTAGTGGAACAACTGGGAGGCAGCACACATTGTCCTGACGTACTACTGTCACTGTTTTCATGCTCATGAAATGCTTTAAAAGTAAATACATAATTACAGTGATTTTTTTTTCCCTCTCTCCTTTCTGAAATAGAAAACTGCCAAAGGGGCAGAGGAGTTTTTCCTCACAGCAGATGTTAGTGTGCATCTGGCTCCGTGTGAGCTTGAGGAGCGCAGTGGGTTAGGAGTTGCCAGAGAATGCAAAGTGGATCTGCAGGTATATAAACCTGAGCTATTTAAAAATAATAAACTCACACAGCTGGGGCTTTTATGGTTATTTCCTGGTAGTTAGAAGAGCCCAGAGCTCTGTGTCAGGAGGACTCTGAGGTGTCTGTGCCCTGCTGAGGGTTGGGGTGTCAGCTGCCGACTGGCTAGAACTGCTGCCAGTTCTCCCTCAGGCACCTTGTGGTGGGCAGCACTTTCTTGCAGTGTTTCCTCGTTGGTGAGCTCAGGTTGTCCTTTAGGGGGGTGTTATTACCTGCTGCACATGCTGTGGAGGATCCTTCATTCCACCTTGGCACCCATCTGTCTGGACAGGTCTGCTCCAGGTGCCATTGCAGACTCTCCTAGAGGGAGAGGGTGGTTGCACAGGACTGGGGGTTTGCAGGCTGGATTCCTCTCCTGTTACCTGGATTACCCCTCTATACTCCCAAGCATCCCCCCAGCCCATCAGGGTCCAGCAGCAGCAGGAAGGTGCCCCCCAGGCAATGCCCTCCTGCTACCATGACTTAAATTATGCAGCAAAACAAAGACCCGGTTTTGGTTTAATTTTCCTCCTATATTGTCTGTTATTGTAGAAAAGGCTTCAATTTCGAATTACAGGAGTGATAGCCAGTTAATGTGGTACAGTGGGAGGCCGGAGTTGCTGTTGCTATGGCAATGGAGTTCGGCTCATTTGTTTTGTAGATGAGTAATTACTACGCAATTAGAGTAGGCTAAAAATAAAGGAGCCTTTTGTTCCTTCTTACTCATTAATATTAATAAAAGACCTGTCCGGGCTGTGGTAAACAATTAATGCAGATGTGGTTGCCCGTGGTAAAAGTAACAGCAGCTTTCCTGCTCCTTGGTGGGCGGCGAAGGGGCTGGCATGGCCTGGCTCAGCTCTTCCTTCATCTGAAATGGAAAATGGTTAGAGAGGGGTCTGTGTTATCCCAGCATCCAAGCTTTAGCTCTTATTTGCCGGTTGGATGGGTGATAATAAGTGTTAAAGCTTAATGTGCAGGCAGGGACAGCAGGTACAGCGTTTGGGTCAGAGCCCGTGACACAGCGAGCGCCTGCAGCACACGAGGGGTGTGAGGGGAACGCGCCGGCAGCGGTTCCTGATGCAGACAGCTCTTCATTCATCCCCTTGGATAAATGCCAGGGCTGGAGCAAGAAACTTGCCCAAAAACCCAAGCACAGGCAAAGATGAGTGTGGTGCCACTGTAACAACTCCAGTACGGCACAGTTACAAACAAAGCAAAAAAGAGTGGAAGGGAA